GGCCGTATTCGGCCGATCTTCCTCTCTTACCAAAATGTGATGGAAACCATGTCGAATATCAAACTTGCTAAAATAATTAGCACATCCAATCGCATCCAGCAAATCATCAATCCGGGGGAGGGGGTACACATCTTTGATCGTGATCTCATTCAACTTGCGATAATCAATGCAAATGCGAATCGCTCCGTTTTTCTTCGGTACTAACACTACAGGAAATGACCAAGGTCCGGTGGCGGGTTCAATCCAGCCGCTGGCTTCGAACTCCCGAATTCGCTCGAGAGCCTTTTTGCATTCAATCAAGGAATACCGGTAGGGTTTGCAATGAATTGGGGAGTGATTTCCTCTCTGAATCTCATGTTGGATTACTAACGATAAACCAATGTCAGTGTCTGTCACACTAATCGCTCCTTGGTATTCCGTTAGAATGTCCGCAATCACCCGGTGGATTTCATCCGGTACGTACTGTGGAACGTGTAGTTCGAAAAGTTGGTCCCAGATCCGAACGTCAATCTGTTTCGTGTGCGCCTATTTTGCCACATCGGGTGGAGGCGCCGAGATGAACGAATGGTCCGATCGCCAGGAGAACACCGTGGCCATCGTCAGGGCATCTTCTTCCCGGATTGCCACGTGTCCTTCCAAGGTAATTCCGTCACGAAAATCCTGCCATGGCACGTTCTTAGTTGCGATCTTTATCCCCAGTTCGTCTGTTTCTGCTTTGAGACGCCCAGGGGGTTCCAGAGAACTTGCTTCCGCCCCCAAGCGTAACAATCTCACTTCTTTAGCAGATGTCAATAAGCACTTGGGTAGATCCGTAATGTCACAGTAATGCTTCTTGTCGTTATACCGGGCGAGGAGTGGGGTGATTCCTTCGTACAGAGTCTGAGGGGGTTCCAAAGAATCAACCATCCTCGAAATCTGCACGAGGGGCTCACCCAAGATCATCGCCTTGGTCCTTTGAATTTTTCGGGTGGTCAGTTGCATCGTTCTCGCTATCGTTTTGGGCGGTGGGTAATGAACGCGCTGTCGTGCTAATTTCAAGATTTCGGGATCATCTTCATCACTACTGTCCGCATCATTCGTTGATGACTTTTCATCGGCGGATTCATCCCAAGAGATCATGCGGAGAGTCCCTGTCATCATCGGCGAAACCCGTGAGACCGTGTTAATGGTAGTACGAAGGGTCAATCGCATGGGCGCAACGTAGGGTTTTCCTACGGTATTGCGGAGGATAATCGATCTTCGTTCAAGATCCAAGTTTGCTCGTAGAGCCACAAGAGCGGGAAGTCCGAAAAGAACGTCGTACGTATTAACGTCTAGTACTACGACATCTCCAAGCGCGTGCACTTTTCCTAATCGGAAAGCGACATTGGTCATTCTTCCCACAATCTTGATTTTCTCTTCATCTGCCAAAACGAGCTGATCTTTCTCAGTGAGCATGATCAAATCGTTTTTCCTACCTGCCCTTTCGACCACTCTTAGTGAAATAGCCAGCACAGGGGCTCTCGAATCTATAATTGCGTTGTAAGGAATTCCCCAAATTTCAATATCGCATTCTGCGGATTTCCACGGAATTGGTTTAATCCGCAGGAAATGGTCGTCTTTCTGGATTAAACCTACCCGTATTGGATCCGAAGTGCCTGTTGGGTTTTCTTCGGACGTGGGGCTTTTAGCCTTTACGTTCGGTGTTCGAGCGAGGGCGAATCGCTTCCGGTTCGCTTTGCAATGTTGTAGCATTCGCTCATTGGCTTGTTCGGAGATCGAGAGTAGACGACCGATCGGAAGCGGAATCCGATGATCCAAGGCTCGGATGATGTTTAATACGTCGATCTCTCCTGTGACGAAGGTGGGTCCTCCCGACTCCATTTCTCCTAGAGACGGTCGCCACTCCGCCACCTCTTTTGGCTCTGGCGCTGGTCTGATTGTTCCGATCATTCCAAGCCCGGGATAACCAAGGGATACGTATTGATCCAGCGGGATTAGCTCGGCGGCTTCTTCCGTGGTGGCCAGGGCACTTCCCCCACCCTCTACTTCTTCCATCAAAGCTCCGACTCGTCCAGGTCCGTTAGCGATGGGGGCCGCAGCCATGGGCGCGACCCCGATCCGCTGTTGTGGGGGTCGGTGGGGGCAATCACGGGCTAGATGTCCTGGCTGATGACAGGCATAACGAACATTCAGATTATTCACGGCTCCCCCGAGAGCAGGTGTTGGGGCTAATCCTTGCTGCATCGGTGGGGCGCGCATCGCAATAGGCCGCATGTTCCTCATCATGGCTTCCAGTCGAGCATTGTGCTCTTGCTGCTCCTTTTTGCTTTCCTGGATTAAACTAATCAATGTTTTGATTAGTTCGAAAATGGCCGCTGATTCGATCGATCGTACTGGAGCCTCAATCGGTGGCGGGGCTAACGCTCTGACGGGTGGGGGTATCACAAGAGCAGAGGTGCTCGGAGTCTCACTTAGGACCACTTGTTTGGGGCCTATCTGTTCCATATAGGTGACAGGTCCTGATACAAACCCCATGTTTTCAAACTTGTTCTGCAAGGCAGCCAACTCAGCCCTCGCTCGTGCTGTCGAATCCCCTTCTCTAGGGTAATCTTCACCTTCCAGGAAGTTTGTTGCGAACTTCCGTTCCATTTCCTCCGCAGCAGCCATGATTTGTTGTAGCGTGTGAGTGATGGGGGAAAATTGCATCCGCAGCTTACCCCTTATTGTTCGGCTGCGAAGCCCGTCAATGAACAGATCTCTCCCTACTTGCTCACCTCGCTCAGTTTTTATGAACACTCTGTAGAACCGGTTTCGATATTCTGCAACGGATTCGAGCGGTTTTTGCACTCGGTCCTTGATCATGTACAATGCTTGCTCGGGGTGAACATAATCGAATCGGTTCATGAAATCCCGCTCAAAGGTTGGGAGATCAACCCATACACAGGTACTATACCAATGATGAGCATCTCCTCCCATTCGAGCCGGAATGTTGGTCTGCGCTTCGTTATCATTGTACTGCTGTGCTCTAAGCGTGGCCAACCATGCTCCTGCGAGATGGTGCGCCGGATCAAACAGGTAGAGATCAAGGGGCGTCATGGGAGCTCGTGCACGCGGGGCGGGTTGCTTTGGTGGATTAGCATTCGGTTGCGGAATCGAATTTTGCACGTTGGCAGCCATATTGGCTGCTCGTCAGTTAGCCGGTCTGCTTCGAGTGACGATAGGGTAGCGTCTATGCGCGTTCCGAGGGCGAGGTCGCCCACGGTTAGCCAGGTCGCCTAATTAACGTGCTATCAACCCTAAGACCCTAGCCACGTGCCGAGCCCCGATACCAACCTCGCGCCCAGCGGGACTTCTTGATCGGAGTGGGATGTGGGCCTGGAAGTGCGAAAAGGGGTCTGCCAAGGATTTCTGGGAAAAGTGGGGGAGTCTTTAGGGGTATGAATGCAATT